GCATAGGGCAGACCAAGCGAGTCGACCCCGGCAGGACGCGGCCATCAACAAGCCGCCTGATGGCCATCATTCGAAGAGTTCACACTCGCAGAGGCTCGATTTCGGCGTTGGGAATACTCTCTATTTGCGGGCGCTTGCTTCTTTCCGGCCGCATACGGGTCTGGACAGTGCAGATCAACTGTCGGCTGCTGCCTCCGAGTTTACACGCGTCTCCCGGTGCATGCTGTCTCAGCCAAGATCTCTCCCATGATGATGAGATTTTATCGCGACGCATGATGCTTGAGGAAATGGAAAGTGTCATTCGCTATGACTGAGATACGGTGTACCGCGGCTGCTGGGATACCTTACTCGACGGAGAGTAAGCCGAATATGCGAGGTAGATGTTGTGGCACCACTTTCGTTGCCGAACACGGACTCGGACATACTACCCCGTGGACGTTGAAAGTCAAACCGAGACAACTTCGTCCGAAAGGTCCTATTCTTACATACATGATGCCGATCACAGTGCCACAAAATGAGATCTCGAGCTTGCCAGGGGTTACCTCGAACATCTATGCAGTCTCTGCATGGCGTACGACAAGCTTGACGCCGCTGACCCCCTTCGTCTCCAGACGCTCAAGTCCAGGAACCACACCATTCAGCCCACCCGGGATTACCTCGACCCTGTTAGGCTGTGTGGATCATCATCAGCTTCTTATCCCGATGTTCAATGCGATGACGACCGACCTTAACGACGCCGCTCTCAAGCCAGCCTGTAAGCAACTTAAACACCTCCCTCGAGACTTTCAAGTTCTCCTCAGCGCCGAACGAGCCATGCGCCATTACGAGCGTCTTCCCATCCTTCGTCTCCACACCGGGCTGAGCTCCTTCGATGAGAGGCGGGAGCGTGACGACGAGCTTTCCGCCCGGCTTCAGGATATCCCAAGCAGCCTTCTGACTCTCGTCTACAGAGATGGCGTCGAATACGAGCGGGAGGGGCGTCTTGCCATCCAATATCTCCTCGACCTTGCTCTTGAGCGCCGAGTACGGCGTGGTGTGGTAGTCGATGAAGTGCGTTGCGCCGGCTGCGCGGCAGTAGGCCTCGTTGCTCGCGGATGCGGTGGTGATAATGGGTGAGAAGCCGCTTAGCTTGAGGATCTGCAGCGCTATAGAGGTAGTCTATCAGTCTCCCACCGCGCAGCACAGATCACAAACAACAACACTCACTGAGCTGCCCAACCGAACTCGACCCACCAATCACAAGCGCCGCCTGGCCCTTATACTTCCCCGCCCCTCCCTCCTCCCAAGGCGCCGTGAACCCCAACGTATGCGGCCCCGGCGCCGTATACAGCGCACAAGTAGCCGTCGCCAGCGCAATCGAGAGCGTACTCGCCTCCTCCACGCTCACATTCTTCGGAATCTTCGCGACGAGATCAGCAGGCGCGAGCGTATACTCCTGATACACGCCCGTATCGGCGGGCCAAAAGCCCTGATACACCACTACGTCGCCGACTTTCCATCCTTGAACGTCAGGTCCTAGCGCGACGATCGTTCCGGCGCCGTCGTAGCCTACGACAGCGGGCCATTCGGTGACGAAGATGCCGATGTTGCGGATGGCGAAGTCGAGCGGGTTGAGCGCTGCGGCGGTGTTGCGGATGAGAACTTGGCCTGCGCCTGGCTTGGGAACGGCGCGTGTGCTGAGCTGGAAAGCAGCGCCGGGGCCGTAGCTAGGCAGGATGAGGGCTTTCTGCTGCGTTGGAAGCGACATCGAGTACTTGCTGTATGAGTTCGCGGCGGTAGATGTATGTATAGCCCTATGCAGACTTCGCGTCTTATATGCCACATATGCATTGACGGATGGCCCGCTCGTCGAGAAGGTGTACGACCTCCTCGATCTGAACCTCACATATCCCGGCGCGGCGGGATTTGTAACACAGCGCCCAAGCGCTGAGTATACGCCGACAGAGACCGGGAACAAGCATTCGAGGCCGTATTGGGCGGGCTCACAAGGACTTGTCCCGGTTCGTAAACCGATGACCTGCCAGTTCAGACTCGCAGAAAAGGGAATTCCGTAGCTTACGAACTCGATCGGGGACAATCCTCCAGCACGTAGACTCAGAGCACGCCTGGTAGCACCATTTTCGATAAAACTCGGGCGCCGTTCATATCATCATCATTGTGGACGTCTCGTCAGCACTTGCACCCCGCTCAGACTCGGGACAGGTATACGTAGACTCCAAGTGTGGTAGCGTTGCACTGAGGATACCGTTGCATCGATGATGGGAGT